TAGCTGCCTTGCTGCAGAGCGCAGGCTGCTGCTCAAGCAGCCAGTTTCGGCCAAGGATTTATTTGGCCATTCGTCACTGGTGGCAGTAGTGGCAAACCATGTTCTCAGGTTTAGCGGATCCTCTCTTCTTTTCTCAAGAAAGTCTACCATTGACAGAGTTTTTCTCTTGCTCCGATAGAGATCTCCATTTCCATCCTTTTTAATAGTGACCACCATTTTTTTTCGCCACAACTACCCTCAAATAGAGGGGATGATGATGAACCTGCCGCAATAGCTCCCTCTTTTCTCAACTACCATACTGCCATATTGGTGATCTGCAAAACCTTTTCAATACTAGTATGTATCCACTAACCATTGAGCATAAGAAATCTTTATGATAAAAAGATTATTAGGCAACGGTTTGATTACCACGAATAAATCCAACTTTGGTCACTCGGCAGGTGAACACCAGGACAGCAAAGGTAAGACGTTTTGCAAGATTACATGCAATCTCCGGTTGATCTTTGGCAAGCCCCTTATACAACTACAAGAAGAAGCTGCATTCAGAGAACAGGGCCAAGCAGAGTGTAGAACAAGAATAAGAGAGCAGGCATATACAACAAAGTTGGCAACAATGTCTGGCCGGATATCAGCGGAGGGATGTCTGGCCGGCGAGATGGAGCAGCGCCTGCTTGTGGTAAGACGTGCGGAGAGCTTCTTTAACTTCCGCGCAAAGGTCAGCAGGTCGATGTCCTTCTCCAGGAACTTCTGGTGCAACTCCTCTGACTCCTCGTCCAGCTTCGCCATTGATGCCGAGGAAAACAGTTTCCAAAACTCAAATTCGTGAATTAAAGCGTTTTTTTTCCTTTTGAACTGGTATTGTCATATCCATTGGGTGGCCACAGTACCCTTCAAGGTGATCAAATCAACAGAAATCCAACATGTACATATGTCCTGTGGTACTATTGTTGTTGTGTGCAAAGCAGAACAAGAGAAAAAATCAAGAATGATGGAAGGAACAGTATAGAAGGACAAACATGTCTCGAAATCTTCTTCGGCAACGCACCCTGACAGTGGCAATGTCAAAACTTGAAAACATCGTGAAAGTCGACAGCTATAGCCAATAAATAAATTGAACATGAATTCTTTTTATTTTAATTGCATACTGTCGAGTCTTTGGAATAATACAAGTATACAAGTCTCTCAGTCAAGTGGGGAACATAGCATCAGTTAAACGCAAAAAGAGAACCTTTTTCTGCACGCATCCATTGTTCTCCAACCTTGCCAGTCATGAACTATGCTTCTCCTACATCAGCAGAGCAGCCATGAGCTATGCTTCACCTACTTCGGCAGCCATGAACTATGTGCCCATCCCATCATTCTTAGTTTCTTCATTCCTGTGCTCAGGTGTAGTTGGTTCATCTTCATCGTCTGAGGACTCGGGTCTTTATTAGTTCTGCAGACCCTGAACTCGGTGTTCCCCTTAAAAATATCCACCTCAATCCCTTCCTCCCTAGCATGCCATATCTTGTCAACCTCCCAAACTCGATGTTACGGCGTCGGTGGGGAGATCGCAGGGGAGAGTGGAGCGGTAGGCTAGATTGAGAATTGAAAACGCAGGGGATAGCGAGGAAGTGGTGCAGCGGGAGGTTCGCCAGCGGCAGCGGCAGAATCGCGCGCAGCCACCGTCAAAGGGAAACCCGCCCACCTTCGGGAGGTTTATTCCTTCTTCGATTAGTCCATTACAATCTCTAAGTGCCCTTTATATAATAGGTGCACAGCTAACAAACCAAAATAGATCTCCTAAATTTCCTCCCTTTCCTCTCCTAATCTCAACCAGACGAGCCCCCCTTTAGCCAAGGCTGGGCCTGGGCCGGCGCCTATACTGACGCCCAACAAAGGCGTCTATAACACTCGATTAGCTCAAGAGAGGAAGTATATATTCATAAATAGAAATAAAAAAAAAAACATAGATGCAATGTGGAGGTCACTGTTATTCTTTAATTTCATATTCCCCCCCATAAATTTATATTTCCCCCATAAAAGAACAGTGCATTGTGGAGTCCTAAGCCAAGCTAATAATATGAGGAGAGGTAGAGGAAGGCTGAAATTGATATGGGAGAGGCAATAAAAAGATATTTGAAAGCTTGGGATATACCTAGAGATCTATGTTTGAATAGGAGTGCTTGAAAAACAGCTATTGAAGTGCCTGAACCGTGACTTGGCTCTTGGTGGGTTTCAACTCTAGCCTACCCCTAACTTGCTTGGGATAGAAAGGCTATGTTTTAGAATTAGGTAGCTAAATTTGCAAATGATTCAGTTCATTCATATACACACTGCAGCAATAGACTCAGTGCACACATGAAGATGGGAACTAGAAGTGCATTGTTTCAAAAATACACCTAAAGATGGACTGTGCAGATCAGGCAGATGCCAGAAGCATCTGAAGACCTTGTCCCTGTCGAGGGATAAAATAATAAGTTTACTGTTAAGCAGCACAACGGAAAGCATCTCTGCTATGTATTGCAGAAAGGAATCCAGTCACCTGAGCATGACCTTTTATTTATATCCATGGCTTCCTGTTGAAAACTACAGAATATCTTCAGTCAGCTTATATGTTTTGAATTTGAAAGATAGATACTCCCTCCATTTTTAAATATAAGACGTTTAGGACAACCTCATTAGTTAAAAAATACGAGCGTGTTAAGAGTGCATTTCACCATATGACAAACAACTACACACTATACATGAGGCTGTATGCAACAAAAAAGGAGAGTGAAAGTGAAATAGAATTAACTCAAACCATGGGTGATGTCCGCTTCCACTTTTCATTTACTATAGTACAATAGGCTAATTTTTTTTTCAGTAAGATGGCGTGAAGCATTTTTTTGTAATACATTAGTGCCCTTGGAAGGGCGGGCCTGGTGCAAGCGGTAGAGTCTTACCGCCTGTGACCGGAAGGTCCCGGGTTCGAGTCGCGGTCTCCTCGCATTGCACAGGCGAGGATAAGGCTTGCCACTGACACCCTTCCTCAGACCCCGCACAGAGCGGGAGCTCTCTGCACCGGGTACATTAGTGCCCCAGGATGATCTAGTCTCATGCACTTATAAAATAAAATCAGGCTGCAGTCTAACTAAAGTAAAGAATTATCCCTTGAAAGTGAACTAGAAAGCTCTATTGATTCATTAGAACTGTACAAGATAACCAGGCTGAAAAGGAACAGAGGAGCTAACAAATAAACCTGAAGTTTTTTTTTTTTTTTTTGGTGGGGTGGGGGTGGGGGGGGGGAGATCCTCATGGTTGACAATAGGTTACACATCAGATGAAGTCACTACCAGGAAAATAACTTCCAAACCCAAACTGCTTTTAGTGCTAGACCACACAAGTAATAACAAGAAGGGGAAAAGAGCAATTATGTGACCTTGTGAACCGCATAGATCACAATGTGATCCAAGTCCCAATATATCCAAATTATGACTATTGTTTCCATTTTAGAATTAGGTAGCTAAATCTTTTTCCAAGGGCTAGCAATATACCACAGTTCACAACACTTTCATAACTATAATCAGTGCCTCGCCTAGTCAGGTCAGACTAAAAATGAGTTCATGCAATGGAACTGCTAAAATCGGGTTCCTTAAACTGTCGTTTATACCTACAGTGCATGGGAGAAAATGAAGCAGCTTCTGGGAAACGAACTGGAGAAGTGCAGGAGACAATTGAAGGAGCTCCAACCACTTGATAACCAATTGAGCAATAATAGGTTGCCTGGTTTGTGTAGCATAACAATTCTCAATTTTATTCCTTCTCTATAATACTCAAAACAATCACTTTACTGTTTTATGTGAACATGGGCCGAACCTGTGTAAGCTGGTGGTTGGACCATAATGGTCACTGGCTTTTAAAATCATGGTGCAAACTTGAAGACAGTAGTATTTGGAACAACTTTGCAATATAATGAATGTAAGAATAGAAATGGTTTAGAGGTTAACCTCATCAGTAAACATAAAGTTCAATGCCTCCAAAACAATATCCTGATCCAGTGATGAATACAGCGAGCCTGGAAACAAAGAAACATTATTCTCAGGATAACCCACATGATGTAACAAAAAACTATGTTGCTGCCTAGCTCGAAAATCAAAAAGTGTACACAAACCTAGGACGTGCGATTTCTCCTGTGGTTCAGATGCTTCTCTGTAGATTTTAAGGACAGCATCATAACCGGATCTGCTTGAGGTGCTAACAGTTTGCATCACTGCAAGATATGCAGCCTGCACAACATTGCATATGAGAATGGTAGACGGTAGATGGTAGATGGTAGATAAGGATAATGATAGATGAGCTCATATGCCAATTCATCACCATGATAATTGGACCATCCACGAAAGAAACAAGAAAAATAAAATCAAAGTAATACAAAACAGAGTACCAGCGATTGCAGGGCAATTACATTATATGGTTCACGAAAGGAGGCACACAACACAGTGTCTGCAAAACTCTCTTCGAAACGCCTGTGTGTTTGATGGAGATTCGCCAAGTGTCTCAACCTCTATGAGAAACTTGCAGCTGGAGGGTCATCTCTGGGTTCTGGCTGGGGCAAGAAACCTGAACCTAGAACTCGGGCGTCTTGGGATATAGGTCCAGTGCATTTGCATAGTCGGGTCGATTATTTGTAATCTTAGAAAGTTTTTTTCTGGTTTGTTTTGTTTTACCCCCCTCTTACCTTGGTCCTGGTAAGAGGGGTTCTTGTATGGACTACTCTCTTTCCCTATAGTACAAAGATACGCAGCTCTCCTGCGTGTTCGAGAAAAAAAAAAAAAAAAAAAACAGATATTTCTACCAGGACGACACTAATTTTGCATCTCCCAGAATAGGACTCCTAAACCAGACTTTCACTGCTCCATACCCATAAAAGGAACAGCAAAATTTCCCAGATGTACTTTGATGAATCTCAAAAGGTTAATGGCTCTTGTGACGCTTCGAAATTCCCTTTCCATATGCATCGAAACGAGCATCAGATATCTTCAGGTCAGACTTGCAGCGCGCTTCCTTTGTTCACTTCTGGTAGTCTTTTTCTTGACATCTGTTGACTCTTGCCCATTTGTCAGCCTTTCTTTCTCTGTTTTTGAAGAACTAGGGCTGCCTTCCTCAGACCTAGATTTCTTGCCATATTTGTCCTTCTTCCCTTCCTTCTTCTGGCCTCCAAGGATCAAATCCTTGCTTTGCTTCTTATGATGTGTAACCTTCCATTCATCCTCTCTGTAAGGAGCTAGCTTCTTAATGGAAACATACTGGTTCAAATCCTTGTCATCTGATACCAATATATCATAGGTACTCAGACCAAAACTGTTGGGTTTAACCTGTTTATACTTGAACCGAGTCTTGATATCTCCAATAGTGTCCTCATAGTCTAACTTGTAGTACTCTTCCATCTCTTTCTCAAGCTCCACCTTGTCTTTGAGAGAGATCTTCCCTTTTGCACCTTTCGCTTCAGTGGCAGTAGACTCTTCTTTTGACTGGTCACTAGCCCAGCCCTTAGGAAGCCCAAGCAATTCGTCTTCTTTGTCAAAATCCGGCTTCTCCAAATCCATCTCACCACTTCCAAACTCAGGATCAACATCATCAGCCTCATAGTAACTGTCATCAAACATCTCCTGCATCTTCTTGTCATAATCCTCTGGATGAAAATCCTCCTCCAAGTCATCAGCACCGAGAGCTTACAAGCAGTATCACCTTCAACCCCAGCAATCATTCGGATCCTCTCAAGCTTCTCTGCAATCTCTTTCTTCTTCAAATTCTTGAGATGCTTCAGCTCCTCTGCCTGCTCTTGCTTAATATGGGCCATCCGCTCCTCTTTGCTCTTGCGCTGCTGCTTCCTGCTGCTCTCCTTCTTCCTCACCGACCCCTCAACAACCCTTGAATGTCCCATTACCCGGTCTGCCACCACTGCCCCTGATGCCATGGCCTCCTCATGCCGGTAATTATAAGCATGCTCATATTCTTCCTGAATCTCGAGCTCCTCTTCATCCGACAATTCCTGGATATCATCCAGATAGGAATTCCTCTTCTCTGCCTCAAGGTACGGCCTCTTAAGGAAAAATTCCTTCAAGAACTTCTCGTTCTCATCCAGCTCCTCATCCTTCCCAAAGACCTCACCAGCAAGCTCCTTGGTCTGCTTCTCCTCCTCATCCTCCACCGCTTCGTCATCAGCCCCTGCTCTAGCCTTGGGCTTCACCTTGAACAAATCGTCGTTGCCGTCGTCATCGCCTAATACTTCTTTCTGTGCCTCAAGGAAAGCCTCCAATCCCTTCTTCTGTTGCTCGTCATAGACGATCCTCTCGAACTTGCTGCTGCTCCGGCTGGCCTGCGCTGCGAACTCTGGGCCCTCCTCGAGTAGGTGGCGGGCATTGACGTCCTTGAGGTACATAGGCTTCTCTTTCTGTCTTTTTCTTCTCTTGCTTGGACTCTTCTTCCTTCTCGGCATCCTCAGTTTCCTCACCGCCCTCCTCCTCCTCCTCCGAGTAGACCTTGGCGTCCTTGTCGAGGATGCGGGGGTCGCCACTGCGGATGAGGTGGATCACCTCGAACACGCGACGATCGACGAGGCGCGAGGCAATGGCGGCCTCCTCGTCCTCCTCCTCCTCCTCCTCCGAAGACTCGGCCTCCGACTCTAACTCGCCGTCGTCAGAGGCGGGGACCAGGCCCTGCTTCCTGAGCTCTTCGAGGCGCTGCAGCACCTCCCGGCGCTTGTTGTGCTCGAAGCGGCGAGCGTACTCCGCGTTGATCTGGATCTTAGAGAGGTCCTCCCCGCCGTCGGAGTCCTCGTCGGACCCCGCGAGGATGTCCAGCAGTTTCTCCTCCATCTGCTTCTCCTTCGACTTCTCCCCACTCCCCATTCTCTTCAGCGACCCGCTCAGCAGCGCAAGCGGAGGGAGGGTGGCAAGCGAGGGCTGGAGGCTACAAGGCGGCGGCAACAGCGGCGTGGCATTCCGCGAGGAAGACGACGGATACTAGCCAGTATCCCGCGCGGTGTTGTGGGCGATAACAGCAAGCAATTGGTGCAGAGACAATGCTATTTGTTAGCTTTGACATGCTGAAGAATCGTGGGAACTTTAATGTAGCCAAATATTTTGAGATGAAATGCTGGAAACCTAGTATGTAACAATGCTCTAAAATAGTAATGGCTAAACCACAACTATTTAGTTTGGCCAAGAGATGGTAATTGTGACTTTGTGATGCCAATGTGGACAGGACATGTGTGCTGACTACTATTGAAGTATTATTGGTCACGAAATTAAGAGAGGATGAATTAGAAGAGCATTCATACCCAAAAAACAATTTTGCTTGCCATGAGCATTGACTGTGTATAATGATTTGTTCCCAAAACCTAATAGTGAAATAAATGGAAGAAGCATTGACTGTCTTGACCATGTATAATGATTTCTTCCCAAATCCTAATACTGAAATGAATGAAAGAAGCATTGAGTGTCTATGGTCGTGGTAAATGACTCTCAAATGGTTGGTCTATCAAATTCAAAACATGCATGGAGCATTCAAGGCCATTTGTTAGTATCTTCTGAGCATGTAACTTTGCATTCTTGTGGGTACAGACTGAAAAGTTATTTTAACTTTCACAGAAAAAAGAATTGAGGCAACCCATCTGAAGGCCATTTCATATGCACTGATAAATAGCGTCATATTAAAAATTACTTGTTGGTCTGAAGATTACACTAACTTTGTTTTCCATGGGAAAAAGTCACGGTGCTCTATATCACCTCTTCACGAAGCTAAGAAACAATCATCATAGGTGTTGTTCTGATTGGCAATTCAGACGAATTGAACAACATTAGGGTGTCGAACCTTCTCGAGTACAATCACTTCATGCCTGAAAGAGTTTTTGAAACAAAAGAAGAGACATTTTGGTTAAAAAAAATCAGAGGGACATATATTTCTCCAGTACAATCACTACATAGCAATTTGTATGTCCCAAAAAAGTCAAACAGAGCGACTTATAATTTGGAACAGAGGGAGCATATAATTAATTAAAGAAACATCATTGATACCTGAGCACACATATTATTTTCGAAAAAAAGCTGAGCACAGATATTTGCATCCTAAAAAAGGATGGCGCACAGATTTTTTGTAATAATTTTTTGAACAGAATTATTAGTTAATGCAATGAAATAAATGATTGTTCTATGTAAACCAATATCTTTGTTTTCTATGGGAAAAGGCATAGCGCTATATATTACCTCTTCATGGAGGTCAGAAAGCAGTCATCATAGGTATGTCCTGAGAGACAGTTCCGACGAACTGAATGCATGCAAGAGTTTCTGTAAGAAAAGAGAAGAGACATCTTAGTTAAAAAAAAAGTCAGGAGCAACAGATATTTCTCCAGTACAATCACTACATAGCAACTTGGATGTACCAAAAAAGTCAGACTTATAATTTGGAATGGAGGGCTATATAATTAATTTGGAAAACATCATTGGTAATTGAGTGCAGATATTTATTTTAGAAAAAGCTGAGCACAGATATTTGCATTCTTAAAAAAGATGGGCTGGGTTGTAGCATGTTGTAATAGTCCTTTTGGAATCACATGATTATTAGTCAATACAATGAATTAAGTACTAAAACTCCCACTCTGGATTCATCTTTGCTGACGGACTGATGCTATGGCTGTTCGGTACATATTTTTTTGTTGCAAATAAGTCACTCTAACAAATGGTAACTTACAAAAGAGATGAAATAGAAGTGCACACCTGTTCAAACCAATGGCGAGCTCATATACGATGAGCAACCTAGGCTCTATCAGTATCTCCATGGCCATGCTGACCCTTCTCTTATGGCTGCATAACTGAGCACAGGTATTTGGGCGGTGACTCATGGCATCATCCGGAATTCAGTATAAAACCCATGCATTGAGTGTTACCTTGACACCAGCCTGAGCCTCAGGTAGTCGCAGTTCTATCTCCGATAAGAACCTTTATCCATCTTGACCTAGGCTTGCTTATATCTTTCTTTGCATGTTGAAACGAAATGAATCTTTGCATGGTCCTGCAACAGCACATGAAACGAAATGAATCTTAAAGTGTGGTCGCGAACGTGTTACTCTGTCATCAGAGGAAAACGTTGCCAAACATGAGCGGCAACGTTTGCGGTGTATGTTACTTCGTCAACAAAGGAACTGCACAGTTGAATTTCAGCATCTAAACCTTAGAGGAGCACAGAGTCTGCAGAAATTTGCAGTTAACAGCAGGCAAGCACAGGAATTTTGGAACGAAAATCTAGAAGGCACTGTGTAACTGCTATCGACATCTAACTGAATGTATATTGCATCGACATTCTGCATATCGTTCCCAAAAAAAATGGAAAAATAATAAAAAGAGAGAAGTCGGAGCATACCTGTGGTTGGGGCTCCAAGGGAACGGCGTCGGTGAAGTTGCCATGCGAGGGAGAGGGCGGAGCCGCGAACGTTGTTGCTGCAGGGACGGCGAGAGCGAGGTGCCGCGCGAGGGAGGTGGCCGCCAGCGGGGCGGCGTTGCTGCGGGGCATGTCGCGCCGCCGTTGGGGGGAGGGGGCGTGGGAGGAGTGCCGGGGGCGGCGCCGGAGGAGGGCCGTTGCCGGAGGAAGGGGACCCGTCACAACGCCGGTCGAGGGCACAGGCGGGGCAGCGCCGCTGCGTCCCTGCATCGCGCCGCAGCAGGGGGTTTGTGGGAGGAGTGCCGGGGGCGGCGCTGGAGGACGACCGATGCCGGAGGAAGGGGCGCCGCTGGCCCTGCCTCGGAGCGTCGGAGATAGCGAGACGGGAGAAAGGTTCGGGAGGAGAAAATTGTATATTTCGGCTCCAATCGCGCTCCGCAGTTTTGGACTCACTTTATAAAAATCTCTTATTATCAAACCGTGTGACTTTGACCGCTGCCACGTCGTCCGAAATTTTCACGGCGTCCGATTCTCCGATCGACGGCCCGTATTAGCTCGCCCTCGCTATAGTACGCGCCCGCCCGCTACGAAGCCCTCGGCGGCTCTCCCCGACCCCGACGCCCTCCTCCTCTCCGCTCTCTCTCTCTCCCTCCCTCGCTCCTCGCGACGCTTCAGCGCCAGCTCGGGGCGGCAGCGGCGGGCCCGCCTCCCATGGCCCGCCCTCCGCTCTCCCTCCTCCTCCTCCTCCTCCTCCTCCTCCCTCCTCCACCACCACCACCCACCACTTCCTCCTCGCGACGCAACGCGGCGGGTCGCGCGGCCTAGGGTTTCGCCCCTCCGTCGCCGGTCGTCCCCACGGGCGCGCGGCCAACCAGCGGACGCCCTGACGCGCCGGAGGCCTCTGGCGGCGGAGGAACCTCCGTGGTGGTCGTGCATGACGACGGGGAGGTCACGTCAGCAACCTCGGCGGTGGATCTGGACCGCCCGCTCGCGGGGCCCCTTCCGGCGGCCGATCTGAGGCTAGAGCACGGTGTCGACCTCGCGCAACCAACGGAGGCGGTGGATCTACGCCGAAAAGCCGGATCTAGCGTGAGCCCTCCCCGTCTCCACAAGATCCGCCTGCTGGGTGGCCGGATCTGTCGCCTTCTGCGCCCCTCCGTCCGCCTCGGTTGTCGACAGCGACGCGCGCGGGAGCGCTAGGGTTACCACTTACACGCCATCTCTGGTACCCAACGCCGCTGCTCTCCCTGTTCATCCTCTTTCGCTTATCTGTACATTTTGCTAATTGCCACATTGTGTGTCATTTTCCTTGTGGTGACCTAATTTTCTAATTCTATTATGGCAAACGCTAGAATGCTACTCAAATACTGATAGTAGCTGATTTGAACAACTTGCTTATAACGTTAGAGCATTATAGTAACTGATTTCAACAACTTACTTAGCATGAGAGTAACAACTTACTTAGCATGAGAATAGCTGAACCACCGTCCTTGCCAGGCATGTTATAAAATACACAATTTTTTTCTGAGTTGCTACAATAGTTTTCAGTTTATTTTCCACTTTTGTATTTTTTCTCGAACACCTAGGAGAGTGGCTTATCATTTCATTAAAAGACAACGTACCAGAGAGTATGAACACCACACCCACCGCTCCTCCCTATGCCTAACAATTCAGCCAATTAAGACCAGGCAGTTCTTGTCGAGATGTCGTGAACCAACGCTACTATCTAATGGTTACATTGATATGTTATTTTCTTAGTTACAATGATGTGACCCTTACAACTTATCTTGTATGTGTAGTTCTGGAAATCATACATCAAAAGGCCTATGGTGTTAGTCGGGCCCAGCCTTGGTGCTGCTGTTGCCATTGATTCTTCAGTCAACTACCCGAAAGCGGTACATGCTCAAAATAGTTCTGTTGTCTATATTTCTTTAGCACTGCAGACTACAGAGTAATACAATAGATTAAACTGAGGTATCTATAGTGCTTCCTTTTATGTGAATTTTGACCCTACTATGCCACAAGCCTTCATACAAGACAGATCTTACAAGTTTGAGAGTTTTATATTCCAATTAACTAATTTAAGCTTGGTTTCACAGGTCTCGAAATTGATCTTCATTGGTGCAGGTGTATACTATGAGGGCCCGAAAGATGTGACTAAAATCCCTAAGTTTGTTTCATATGCCGGGGTGAGTCATTCTGACTTCCATGCTAAGCTTATTTAGTTTTCTATTTTATTTTACATGTTTTATTTTTTATGTTGTTAGGTCTGTATTTTCCATTCGGTGCTTAGCTTATTGGTTATGGCCGTGTTTTTTTTATAATAATGGTTGTGCTGCTTAAGTGGAATGTCTCTAATTGGATCAAAGAAATCTTGTGGTGTGTGTCTACATTGGCTGGGCGACTGGACTACTGGACTAAACTGATTGTTTTCTTTGCTTCCCTAGGTGTTCATATTGAATAGTCTTCCACTGCGATTTTTAGCAACAAGTTTGGCATTTAAAAAAAACTCCAAATGAATTCTTTGATTGGGTGCAAGTAAGTCTCTATGGATCACTTTGAACTTAAAAAGGAACATGAAAAGAAGAGCTCTAGTTGTTTTCTCTACCTTATGAAATTAGGTACAAGTCTATTTTCTCTTCCAGTAAATGCATCTGTACATGGAGAGGTTATGAAGGCTACCCCAAATTGGAAGAATGACCTGCCAAAATTCACAGCTTATTTATTAAGTTCTTTAACACTATTTTTTTACAAGGCCAATTCTTTATCACTAAAGGAAAAGCTGTTCCTGTTATAAAGCACTGCATTGCAACCTGTGCTGCTTATGATGTGGTCAGCGTCGTGTTAATTATTTCGCTTTAGCTTAACTGATATTTGAGTTACAAACATGCATACATTTTGTCCTTTCTATAGAAGTTACTTTTGTCATGTATCTACTATCTATGTATCTAAAAATCCAAAACGTCTTATAGTTTGCAATTGAGAGAGTAGCTTACAAGGTGGATACACTGATTTCCAAATTATGTTTACATATCTCTCTCGATTGAGATCAGCATACCTGATCACTTAGAACAGGACACGACTATTATCCTATTGATGATTTCCTATTTATGATACGTACAGTTCTACTTGTAGGTGTATGATGAGGCTAAAGATATGCTAATTATTGTGCTCCAATCTTTCGCTTTCTGTGCCTGACATATCTATATTAGACTCCTAATATTGTTTTCAGGTAAAGATTAAATTTTTTTTCTGCGCCTTAACCACCAGTGTGGGCGGCCTGTTGTCTCGTGTGGTGGCGGTGGCGTGGCAAGGGGTCAAGCAAATGCAAGCACCGGGTGGCGATGAAGAGGGTGCCCACAGGCGCGGTGGATAGGCTCCAGGTTGTTCAGGAGGAGGTGAAGTGGTTGAGGCGCGCCTCCACATGGTGTCGGAACGTGTGCACATTCCATGGTGCTGTGAGGGTCAGCGACCACGTATGTTTCATCATGGATCGCCATGTCGGGTCTGTGCAGGCGGAGATGCGACACAATGGTGGACGCCTCACGCTAGAGCAGATTCTCAGGTCTGGCATTGCATCTAAACGTCAGTACTTAGTAATATTGAGTAGCTATTCTTTCTGCCTTTGTTGTGCCAATTATCACTGCAAATATATCACATTGCAACATAGCGCTTATTTTTATTGTTACTCAGTACTCAGTAAGAACTAAGAAGCATGCCTAGCTAGAACCATTCACTAAAGGTGGCAAACTGTGTAGTATGACAGCTTGCTTTGAGAGGTGTCAAGTGATTGCTTTGTTAATGGCATTATGTGTTTGGATTTTGTTGGTGCTGATAGTTGTTTTGTTTGCTTAGCTTCTATTGTTGTAAGGAAGGTAAAATTGGTCACAATTAATGCTCATCATGTCGCTTGCCATTTCGGCGCAATGCCGTCATATATTTTGTGAATATCATAACTTTGGCTTGCAATTTGCTCGCTGAGTCAATTACCATCAGATTATCAAGCTGTGGAATTTCAATTTTTTTATCTATTATCAGCTCACAAGGTGGCTAACACTAATATATATATACTGAAATCATTAAAATTCCTATGACATGCATATGTGTGAGTAAAATTTCTACGAGAATTAATATCGCTGCAGGAAATTTATGAAGTGCTGTGGTTTTCCCAATAGAATTAGACACCGGCACATTTAACATTTCTCTGCAAGACCTATGTAGTCTTTAGAATATAGGTATCTCTTTTCATACCTTGCCGGCGCGCGATGAACTAGTAGGACACCAAATGTTATACCCTCATTTTCATGACATTATGTGTATTTTTTATAGTATTTCTCTATGTATTTGATACATCAACTGACATTTTGCCCTTCTTTTCATTTGCACGTTCCATGTATTCGCCGTCGCTCTCATTCGTTTGCACGTTAGTACTGATGCTGGACATGTAACGTGGCTGTACCGGGCAAGCAGGCAGCCATGCTGGGTGCCGCCGCCTGGGCCTTGAACTCCCGTCAGTGAACGACTCCTTCACCTTGGCCTTGAACTCATCGTCGGGGAACCCTTCAACGCACGTCTCCATGTTCGCGCAGCTGGTAGCTCTGCTTGGCGATGCCGTCCTTGTCGTCGACGCCCTTGAGCGTGCTGTTGAGGTCGTCCTTGGCGTCCGCGAACACCTCCTTGCAGTCGGCGACGGCGGCCTTCACGCGCGGGTCGTTGCTCAGGATCAGGTCCGCACGGTCGAACGCCTGGCTGATGGCGTCGCCGATCACCTCCACGGCGCTGCGGACGATGTCCTTGGGCGATGACGAGCTGGCGTTCGCGGCCTTGCCAATGCTCTTCTCGCACGCGTCCGTGTAGTCTGTCTGCGAACACATCGCTCTTGGACACGGCCTTCAGATCCGTCTTCGAGTCCTGATTCCGATTCTGATTCCGAGTCCGAGTCCGACCCGCCGCTGGACTTGCCTTTGGCTGGCGACGACGAGCCCTTGGAAGAAGACTTGTGGCCACCGCCACCGTCGCTGGACGACTTCTTCCCGCTGTACATGACCGCGGCGCTGCCCATGACGATGAGTATGATGATGATGGAGACGGTCCCGGCGGCGATCATGATGCGTCCGCGCTGCTTCCGCGCATACTCGGCGCGGCGGCGCTCGGTGAGCGGACCGAAGTCGCCGAGCGACGGCGACGACATGGTCGGAGCTGTTTTCACCATCCATGGGGCCCTCGGGCGTGGCCACGTCGTCAACTCAGGTATCAAATACACGTATATAGATTAGAAAATAGGGCAAATACATGTAATGTCGTGTTAATGAAGAGTCTAACATTTGGAGGCCTGTTTTTACGAAGTCAGCCCAGAAACTGCGAAGCGCGTTGAAGTACCAGATATACAATTTTCTCGTTCGGGAGCGAGCGCGAGAACGCTGGAGGGGAGAGAGGCCGAGCGGCGGCATCGGTGTTTCCGGAAGGGCGGACGGGATGCCGCGTCGTTGTTTCGAGAAGTCTGTAGGCGTGGATGGTATCGGAGGGGAAGTCTGGAGGAGGCCGAACGATCGGACGGCGTTGGTGGCAGCACTGTTGATGTACAGGGATTTGTGAGAGGGCTGTTGGTATACGGGCATACGGCTAACGCCGTGTTTAGATGGAAAACCCTTATGTTTTTGAAAATCAACCCGCTTCTGAGGCCCTCTCAAAATATTTTACAAATAACACCTCAGATAATTTTCAAATCAACCCGCAGTCCGAACGGATGAGCTCCGGATATTAAAAAAACCCTTCCTTTTATCAAAAAATAAAAACTAATTCCGAGACACTGGGAAATTTTTTCGAAAACCTCCTCGTTTTTCTCTCTAATTCTGAGTCATGTTTGAATATTTTTTTCCAAAATAAAAAGCGAGCGTCTTTATAATAAGAACTAGTTTGTGAGAGGGCTATTGGTATACGGCTAAATAAATATGGTAGATGTGCCTGCGCGAGCAACGGCGACGCAGGACGTGGTGGGGCCTAATGGGCCGCGTAATAAGTAAATATAAACCTAGGCCCAACTACTTCAAAAAAAATAAACCTAGGCCCAACAGAAGATGAATCGTTGATTCCTTTTCCATTTCATTGCTACAAGTATTTTTTTTTCTCTTGTTCGCTGCAGCAGCAGCCACTGCAGCGCTGCACATAAGTGCAGCCGAACATGCTGATGTCGCGACGACGGATCACCACACAGCTGGTAACAACGCTGCTTGACAGGGAGGCTTCCACGCCGCCGCCGCCGCCGCCGCCACCACGAGATTACCCTGATCCAGTCATCCAGTTACATCAAATTGGTCCCAAGGGACCAAAAAAAAATGTAGAAAAGGTTAGAAAAATTAAGCTATCCAATTGTGAATTTGTATTAGAAATCATCAAATCGGTGCGTTCATTCACAGGCACAGATTGATTTCATCTATTTTTAGTTATCATCATTATTAATTTTTTATGTATGATATTGGACATCTTTAGGGCTAGATATATATTGTTATTTTGCCACATTATTATGTATTGTTTCTATATAGTTGCTCTATTACACAAGTTATTATTAGTAGAAGTTCGTCACAGGTGGATTTTTTCCTCGATCCGTCGCTGGATGGAACCGACAAGGGCTGGGGCTAGTATATTGTGCGCGCAAAGTTGATAAACTGGGCTGGGCACTATGGAATGGGGCAACCCATGGGCTGACAGTACTCCAGAAGCCCAGGTGTAGTAGTGCTACTGTGCCGATCGCACTTCACTTAACGTTTGCCTCTTCGTCCGAAAAAACCTGTTATTACGAGAAAAAATACTGACTCGTTCGGTTAAGGTATTACGAGGCTAGTAATCAATTCGGGTAGTAAAACCTTATATAAATTAAAGTAACTGATCCGGCTAGGAATCCTTTCTGGAGCTCGTTCCCGCTCAAACGAACGTGGCCTGATTGTGTTTGGCAAGTTGTTTGAGGCGTTGGGATTTTCAAATATTGGAGATTTTTTAAGTATCGGTAATCAGTGCCGGTCCTAGGATTTTGAGGGCCCTCTGGCGAACTTGTCGCGACGACCTCTCTCGACAAATGTTTTTTAGGTAACATTCTAAAATTCTAACACCTGACCTAAATTACAAGAAAAACATAACTATATGAGTACAAAGTACTAGACAAAAATTGAACAAGGAAAAAAAAAACCTAGGGCCTAGACAATTTGGATATGAACTTATTGAACCTAGTTCAAAATCACAAAAGGGCGGGTAGGCAATAACCAAGGTCGGGATGTATATTCAATCGTCGCTTCTGGAAGGCTGGAACTCGAGCATCGGTGTCTCTGTGATCTGCCTTTGGTGATCGCGTGGTGAAGCCCGATGATCGGCGTCGGCGTCTCGTAGTCTCTCGTCTCTCTCGCTCAAAAGTCGGAAGTCGTGTCTCGCGATCACTATGTGCGTGTGTTCGCGATGGTGTTGGCGGTGTTCGGCTCCTTGCCTCCGGGAAGAAAGTTTTCTTGATGGGCGTTGGACTATAGCTAAAGGGTGGAGTATTATATACTTGGCTTGGGCCCCCATCCCGCGAGGGCCCTCGCTACCCCCTTAGGGCTTTCAGCAGCATTGGTAATGCTACCATTAAGACGTTGGAAAGGTCGGATGCCTCGTTTTACTCACTAACATATATGCTGCTCACCTAAAAAAACAAAATCAACTCTCGCACGCCTTGCTCCACTTTGCTCCTACCCTTACCCCTTCCGCGCTCCTCATCCCTTGCTGCAGCGCACCAACATCCAGCGTCCTCGTCCACCGAGAGCCCCCAATGCTCGCAGATCCGGCAGGAGCGAGATCTACTCGCCTCCGCGTGAGATCCATGGACGTGGAACGGTGGTGTTGTAGGGGAGTAGGCGACTCGCTCTACCCCATCGCGGCGCCCACCCCATCCCCGCGCGGCGCCCTCTCTCACCCCGGCGACCGAGCTCCTCTCGCACCCAACGACCATGGCACTCCTCGCCCCTCATTCCCCACCGTCGTTGCCGAGCTAAGCCTGGTATTGGTAGCGGTGTTGCTCGTGCACCGCCGCTCGCCGCTGGCTCCGGCCCGACCACTAGAATCGACCAGGCCAAGCTTCTCTCTCCTACGTTGCAAATGTATGTTTAAGGTGTTTTAGTTGTTTCAAAGGTATGTTACAGTTGTTTCTTATGGATGTTGCAAAAGTAGATCAGGGGATGTTGCACATGTCGCATATGTTGCAAGTGTTTCAGAAGCATGTTGCAAGCGTTTGTTCAAAATGTTTATCTGTTTCCAGACATATGTTGCCATCGTTTTTTATCTAGATGTTGCATATGCTTTCACACAAATATTGCAATAGTATGTTCCAAATGTTTCAACTGTTTCCATCTTATGTTGCAATAAGTGTTTTTTCATGTTGCAATTGTTTTATCTGGATGTTGTATATATTTCACACATATGTTGCAAGCGTGTGTCCTAAATGTTTCATCTGTTTAAAATATAAGTTGCATTCGAGTCTTTTATGTTGCAAGTGCAAAATACCGATGTTGGTGTCCATGAGGCGGGTAGGGCCAAGCCGCACGTTGCTGTTGTGGAAGAGGCGGAGGTGAGTCTTCTGGGCTGCCTAGAAGAGACGGGGCGCGCGCGCGGTGTGGAAGAGGCAGGGACGAGTCATCCGAACAGCGTGGGCAGCGAATTTGAAGCGGACGGTTCGGATGCGAGCGCAGGAAATGGAGCTAGTGTGGATGGCACGCGAATCCGAGCGGACGGGGTGCTAGTGCTGCCGTTATACTTTCGTGCATTTATAGTTAATTTACTATTTTAAATTTAATCAAATCTATAGAGAAATTTGCTAATATTGACGGTACCAAATAAATATACTATAAAAATATGTTATATGACGAATCTAGTGACACTTATTTGGTAGTATAAACCATTAGTATTCTAGATTTTTAGTAGATAAATTTGATTAAATTTTAGATAGTTTGACTTAGGACAAAATGAAAACATCGTTTTTAGTACTAAAAACACATCATTCCGCCCCCAGCCAGCCGCCACCCAGCCACGGTCTTGTGTGACGACCGATGAAGGGCCTATCTGCCACTCCGTGCTATCGTGTGATCCAATTCCAATCCGAATCGCATACAGTTGATAAGATTCTCAGGCAGCCACCACTCTACCGGTTAACCACCAAGGCCACAAGACACAAGAGGATGAGTCGGACGGCTGAGAAGCAGAGTAGAGCAGCAATGGCCATGTGGGCGACTGCTACGTGGGCAAGGCCACCAAGATCTTCCTCGACCTCCTCTCCGTCATTGGCGCCATCCTCGCCTTCCACGCCGTCCTCCACCACATCGCCCTCTCCTTCCGCCGCCGACGCGTGCCAGCCCATCCTGCCGAACACCGATCCCGCCGTCCAGCAGCCCGCCACCCACGCCCACGCCTGCACCGGTGCAAAAATCCCACCTTTCCCCTCCGTGGACGGACCGAATTTTTTTACTTTTTAGCCCTTTTTTGAAAGTTTTTCACAAATAGACCCCTGGAGGAAAGATTTTAGAATATGTACCCTTAGCTCGGCGCCATCAATGCTGGTGCCGAGCTAACACGTCTCGGCGCTAGCGTCCCTGGCGCCGAGCTCCTGGGCTCGAAGCGAACGTGGAAGGTGACATGGCAGGAAGCCTGGCGCCGAGCCTTTATTACGTATGGGCCCCGCCCCTCTCTTCCTCTCTTCCTCTACCTCTCTCGCCCTAGCAGAGCAGAGTCGAGCTCCGCCGCCGCCGCCGCCCGCACACGCGCCTCCACCGGTCGCCCTCGCCCGCACGCGCCTCGCCGAGCCCGCGCACGGACACCCGTGCCAGCGCCGGCCTCCCGCACCCCGAGGCCGCGCCGC